CACACAAAGAAATAAATTTTGCAGAAAAAATAGCTAAATATTTTCAATTGCATCTAATATAATTTCTCCGATGCACACACTGATGGGAGATAAAATACAAGTATACACATAGAACACCTACAACAATATGTTCAGGCAATTAAAGAAAATGAAGGGTACTTCCCAAACTAAATATTCAAAAAATATGTCATTTCAGCTCCTAGCTAAAAACCCATCATCATTTGGGACTACATCTTTCTGCCTACACTGCTGCAAAGATGCAAATTCTGTAACATTACTGACCTAATGAGAAGGAAATGAGCACTTGCAACCCACAACAGTGTAATCAATGTGATTCCTGAGTCCAGTCAGTGGCAACTATTTTTGAATTGGGCAAGCAGTCACAGGTGGAAGATTATTTGACAGATTTCAGACAGTAATGCCCTTAGGTAATCATGTTCCAGGGATTTTTTTCTAAAAAGCCCCAAGAATTATAATTACAAAACTCTGTCAGTGTAGAGAAGCAGAAGTGGCACAAGAAAATAATGCTTTTTTCTGTTGGGTCAAGTACAGCCTCTGTTCTCTGATAATGGCAAAAGCTTGTTGCTTTAGAAGGCTGTACCTCTGCTCCCCAATAATAACCTTGCTAATTGTATAGTGTTGTATACAGTGGAAAGATTTTTCCTGACCCCGCAGGGAGCAAGTGCTGTGAAGCATGAGATTTGATTAGCCTTATTATCTTAGCCTGCCCAGTTACCAATGTTGTAAGCTGCCATGAAATTATCCACCCCTTTTAAAAATAAAGCCATACTATTTGTCTTCATTATCTCCTTCTATGGAGTTGAATTCCACATGCATACAGACCTCAGTGATCAAAATAGCACAGGAATTACACATGTAGCCTTTTAACTCTGTAGGTACTGTTTTCTTTTATTCTTTCATACCACCTTTCCATATAAATCAATGTTCTCCTAAATATTGTGGGTTTGATCACCAGCTCCTGAAAGAAACCTGGTTTTATTTTACCGTCAATATTTATAATTACCTATGTGATCTTTTAATGAGTTACTCTGGAGCAACTCATAGCTTGGAAAATGGTATAATCTCTTAGAAATTTTGCTGTGTTTGATGGATTTTTTAAAAAAATGTTCTATGATGTCTTGTATGCAGAAATGAAAACAAACTACATACAAAAATAAATAAGAATAATGATAATGATAATTAAAAATTCCCTAGATTGTTTCTTTGCCACAAAAAAACTTAGTAAAAAATATTTTGGATGGTATGTAAATACCATCCATAAACAAGTTATACATAAGTCATTTTCATAAGATCTCCAAATAGTGATAAATACAGCAAAGAAACTGACATTTCATTGTCTTAATTTTTTCAGATTATGAAGACAGCATATTTTGGTGCTTATCAAATAAAGAAGTAGTCTAAAGTTAGGTCTGTCTTGAGACCGATCATAATAAATGATTATCCAAATTAGACACTACTTCACCAAAGTGTGCAGAACACTGGACTTACTGAGTGTGCCAGCAATCAGCTTAAAACCTCCTTTAAAAAAAATACACCACCCCAAAGACCTTCACTCAACACCAGTTTGCCACAATAAGCATGGACAGGGGAATGAACTGTAAGAAGTACCCCATCTGTGGGTACAACTGCTCATTTTGTCATTAAAATAGTCATCAGAACAGTGACAGAGAATTTGGAATTCAAACCCAGAGTTCTGCAGAGAATAAGACAAAGAAAATTTCAGCACAGTTGACACCAGCCAGCAGATAACCTCTCCACTATTGTGGCAGTGCTGTGGTAATTACAGGTTTTTGTTTTTGTGTACATCCAGAACTATAACAGGACTGAAAACCACATCCTCCTTTCCACATCCTGTAAATTGGAATGCCTGCTCCTCTAACTCCTCTAAATTCAGGGTATGAGCTCTAGCAAAACCAAAAGACCCTGGAGAAAGACCTCTACCTTGTTGCTTGTAGCATCAGAACAGACAGAATGTTAGGCACCCTGGTCCCTGCAGTTTTACAAAAAGGAGCAGAAGATTTAACAGCAAAAGCGCTCAAGTGAGATCTGTATCATCAAAGGCTGAGTTCAAAGCTCTGAGGAGCCATAAACTCCAGTTCTAGTGAATGCAAATCAATCAGCCCAGAAGTGTCAGGGCTGGGGCTGCCCTACCATACAGTCCTAACGCTGCCTGAATCCTGTGGTTAGACAGAGACTGAGATAATCCCTGGCATCAAGAAAGTCGGGTTTGGCACTCTTCTAACCTATGCCTGGCTGACCATGATCACCAGCCAGAAATTGCTGGGACATAAGTCAGCCCTGGCCAGGTCCTGCCTTCTCTACCACAAACTGGGAACAGGGTGAGGCTTGGCTGAAGTGCAGTAATTGCCCATTAAATGGACAAAAGAGATTTACTGTCGTTTTTGCGCTGCGGGAATGGTTCAAAGCTCTCCGATTGAACAGCACCAGCAGGGTCCTAAGGACCATCCTTGTACGGGGGAATTCTGCGATGAGCAGCATGCAAATGTAAGTAGCAAAAAGCCCAAAGGATATGGTAATTCCTGACAGAGGGTAAACATCAATTTCTAAGTTCTTCTCTAAAACAATACATCTCTATTTCTTCCTTGACCCTAATGGATCAAATGGATTAAATAGTGGGCAAAAAATGGTGTGTGAGCATTTGGGACACATTCCCTAGAGGGCTTTAATAGCCAAAAAGCAGCTGCAGAGGCCAGAATGGAAGACACTCAAGACTGTGGAGCAGTCAAATTACTTCGTGTTTAGATATTTATGTTGCAGCCAAAAATGGGCTCTTGTATTTCACAGGTTTGGATTCAAGCTCTGAGCTGAACTGTAATAAGGAACCTCTGTTTTGCAGTGAAGCAATTTTCTTTCATTGGCCAGGAAGGTAAAGTCAGGATATCATGAAAGATGTCAGCATAAATTGCTACAATCCTTTCTCTTTAATAGAATAATGTTCAGTTTTCACAAATGCAGAGACTGTGAGAGAAGAAGTCAACAAGATGTTGAGTTGTGAAATACAGGATGAGATGGCACTTATGGGTTTTGTGGCTCTGGCTCAATTAGAACATCACCAAAAAACTAAATTACAGGCAAAGGAGAGAAAATGACCTAAAGTTATTTTTTGGGGAATGAGGATTTTTTATGCCTGTCAGTTTTTCCATTGTAGCTGCAGGGGTTCAAACACCAAAAGGGTGGTTCAGGTCATTATGTTGCCTAGAATCCTTCATGCCATTTTAAGTTTCCTTTCAGTTTAACAAGGAAAAGATAACTGTTTGTGAAGCAATTTACCAAAAATATGTTCAATTTGGACTTTTTACTGAGAAATTGCAGGAGGGCTGTAAGCTCTTTGGACCTGGGGGTGTATAATTCCACATGCCTATGAAGCTCTCAGCACAGGGTAGCTACTGTAATTTGAAGAGTAAGTAAAAATAATTCCTAAAGGAATTTTACACACATTTTTCCTAAGATGAGGTGCACAAGACCTCATTTACTTGATGCAACTTTATTGGAAAATCTGAGAGAGGTTTTTCACCGGCTGGCTGCTGTTCCACAGTTTCTGCAATTATGCCCATCATAAATATCAGCTGCTTTTTTGATGTTGTTGGTGGCATAGAAATCAGTTTAGTCATTATCTGGTAGGAGAGCAGAATCTGAACCCATTAAGATAAAAATGGGTAACGAGTGGATTTTCTGTTAGAACTCTGCCCCCTCATAGCTCTGGCTTTCCCTTTTCTCCACTGGGTCCCAAAGAAAAAGCCAGCATGAATTGCAGACAGCTTGTTATGAAGGTTTACCTTATGTCACACTGGGCTACTGGGTATTCTTAAAACAGCATAATTATACAGATTGCAATTGAAGTATATGCTTGGATTCAAAAATTTCCAGGAAAAGTCGGTATGAGGAGGAATAAGTGAATGAAAACAAGTTGAGGAATGACAGATTGTTTTGGATATGAGCATTTCGTTTCTGGAGCAAATTTTACCCTTAGGTGAAGACCAAAAAAGTCCATCTTTAGTTAGTGAGAATTCTGCATGCAGGACTGACTGTGTGCAACCCAAATTTTCCTAAGTCCATGAGTATCCAAAGGTGAGAGTCTCTCCTGGAAAAAAAAAAAAAAAAAAGCGAGAGCTGCTCTGTAATCATTGCTCAAAACACACGAAATGTTTGAACAGTGACCCGAAGTGCGGGGAAATGGCTTTCCCAGTGTTCTTTCCATTTGAGTGGTCTTGCAGGTTATTGGCATCAGGGGAAACTCCCCACTTTCCCTTTCCCCAGTGAAATGTGAGATTTCTCGGCTGGCATTTCTCGCACTCGGCGACTGAGCAGGCAGCGCCACGTGTCCCCTCCTGGGACTCGGGACCGGGGCGAGCCCGAATCGGGACCGGGTCCCGGGCACGAGTCGGGGGGAGCCCGAATGCCGTCCGGGGGCAGCGGCGGGGACACGGCGAGAGGACGCCTCGCACCCTCGCTCGCTGCCGCCTCACTCGCTCCGCACCCACCCACGGCGGCCCTCACACGCGCGTGCCGTGACACGAACGCGCGCGTGTCCCCGCACGGCCCCGCGCCACCCCCACCGCCGCCTCGCACACGCGCGCGCTTGCACACGCGGTGACACGCGCAGTCACGCGCACTCCCACGCACTCGCGCTCGCTCTCTCACCCTCGCCGACCCCTCTCGCCCCCTCACACTCTCACTCTCACTCATTCTCACACTCACTCCCTCACTCACTCACACTCACGGAGGGAAGGGGAGGGGTGGCTGAGGCAAAGGCGCGCGCGCTCCCTCCGGGCGGGGGCGGGGGAGGCGCCCGCGCGCCACTGCCGCGGAGGCCGCGCGCGCGCGCGCTCGCGCTGGCCGGGGGTGGGCGGGGCAGAGGAGCGGCGGCGGGAGCGCGTGCTACAGCCACGCCGGCGGCGCGCGCCGAGGCGGGCGCAGAGCAGCGGCGGCGGCACCTCCGGCTCGCGCCGTCCCTCCGGCAGCCCCGCGCGCCCGGGATCGTCCATGGGGCCGAGCGGCGCCCGCTGAGGGAGGAGGGGACGGGGAGCAGCGGGAGTCGGTGCCGGCCGGTGAGTTCCCGTACCGGCAGGGAGGTCGCGTGCGCAGGGGGGGAGGGAGGGTTCGCCCGCCCGGCTACTCGCTTCTCCCGTCCCTCCCAGCCGGCGGGGAAATGGTGGTGGGAGGCGGGGTCCCGCTGCCATCCCGGCCGAGCCCCTCGACCCGGCGGCGGGAGCGGGGGCGCCGCGTGTGCGTGTGGCGTGAGGCGGGAAGAGCCGTCCGCAGGTAGCGGGGCCGGGCGGGCCTGCAGGGGAGCGAACATGGCAGCGCCGGAGTCCGGGAAGAGGGATTTTTGCCCCTAGAGCGGGGATTAACCCTCCTCCTCCCGCCTCCGGATGCGTCCCCGGGAGACTCGCGCTTCATCTGCCGCTCCGGATTATCCACCCGCCCACCCCCTTCCCCCCACCCTCTTTCCCGGTATTTTCTCTCCTCCTGGAGATTATCAGGTTTCCCGCCCCTCCCTCTCCGGGATCCTCCACCTCCCCCCCTCCGAGGGGATTATCTCCCCCCTTCTCTGCCGGATTATCCCCCCAGTTCGCTGTCCCTCCCTCCGCGTTTATGCTCCTCCGCAGCCTCGCCTCTCGGGGATTATCTGCTCTCCCTTTGGGGTGATTCTTCCTCTCCTGATCTCTGCCCCGGCCTTTCCCTGCCTATTTTTTACCTGAGGAAGTCAACCCTCCCCTTCCGTCTGCCTCTGACTGGGGAAAGGGGCGAAAATGTGGTTGTGATCAGGTGGGCAGGAGTTTCCAGCAGTGCTGTCATCTCCTCGGTCGTTGTACGAGTACTACAGGCAAGTGGATGTAGGTGTAGGAGAGGAGGCAGCAGGGATGGATGTGCGGAGCTTGGACCAGAGTTCAGCCTGTGGCGTTGTGCTCCCTATGCAGGAAAATATCTGCACCCTTCCTGCGATGTTACATCTGGTGGAGATGAAGGAGAGCCGACCTGGATCAGTGCTTTAAAAAGCCGTGCATGGGTGCTGGGTGGTAGAGGCTGCACGGAAAAAAGCCAGCAGCCTCTGAGTTTCTTTGAGGAGGGTGCAATGTACAGTAGTAGCATTGTAGGTGGGAGGGTGCTTGGATGACATTGCTGCTGTTCGAGGGTCAGAGCTGGCTTGAGTAGCTTCTGTCTTGGCTTGAAAGGCAGCTGGTTTAGGCTGTTGCTTGGTGTTGAGGAGGAAGCAGGCTGGTATCTTTTGCTGAAGCTCTGATGCTGATGTGGTTCTTTACTGTCAACTTGCTGGCTGAGGAAAGATGCGTGTGTTCCTAAAAGGGAGGGGGAAGGTTTATCCTATGTGTTTGACTCCTGCGTAGGTTCAACCAGTCTCTCTCCTAACACCTGGTCTCCCTGCACATGGGTTTGCTGGAGGAGACTTGCAGATCTTCTGGCCATCTTGCAGCACAAGGCCCAGGATTATATCCATTTAACTTCTCCCATTTGGCTTTGAGAAGAGAAGAGGCTGTGAGAAATTGTATGGAGACTGGGCACCTATAAATAGATGTCGGACTAGAGGAGGCTTTCAAATCTTAGCATGCTGCTTCTGAACAGATAGTGTCTGTTAAACTGGCTGGGTTGACACTAGCATCATAATGTTTCCTTTTATTTCTGCTGAGGTGGTTGGCTTTTAACACTTTGACCGGACCATACAACATCTGCCAAAAAATTCTTCCTGAAAAGGACATAGAGAAAATTCTCATTTAAATGAAGTGCTGACAATTGAAGTCTAGTTTGAGCTCATTTAAATGGGATTTTTAAATGACCCTTCAGAGAAATCTTTAGTTTCCTCTTCCCTCCCTTGAAATGCTTGGATTGATGCTCTTATGCCCTTAATTTGTTCTCAAAGTATTGCACTGGATAGATTACCTGAGATCTCTGTTGCTGTGAAAAATCTGCAGTACTGAGGTATGGCATCACAATGCTGGTAGCACTGCTAGGTTTTTATTTTGTTGTTTAGGTTTTGGAGTTTTTTGTTTATTCTTTTTTTTTTTAATGGAATATTTGACACCTAACCAAAAGGGTGTATATTCCTTGAATTCAGGATGCTTGCATTTATTTTAGATCTTATGGATCACTGCTCTTTCAGCTTGTCTTGTTGAGAACTAATTAATATGGAAATTATTGACAAATATACTGTACTAGCTCTGTGGAATGGTATCTGTTCTGCTGCTCTATTAGTGGGCCAACTGCATACTCTAAGTCTCTAAAATGATTGAAAAGCTGTTGCAACATATGTGCAATTGGACCTTTTTTGAGCTGCCTCTTTCTTGTGCCCTTTTTCCCTTTCAAAAAATAGTAGAAGCTATTAAATCATGATGGTTTCTTTTTACTTTTTTTTTAATAAAAGAAAAATAAGAAAGGAAATAATGAAAATGTACCTGAATAATACAAAAGAGTCTTAACAAACACTAATGGGATGAATATCTGCAAGAACCCTGACTTTTAGGACATTTCTTATTTAGAGCATAAAATTTTAATCTGATCTTTATTTTCCATTTTTTTTTTTGTAAAAACAGGAAAAGGAAAGGTTTTGTAAACCTCAGGGAGGCAGAAAGGATAAGAAATCTTGGCAGTATGACTTACTAGTTTTGGCATTTTTAGTTGATATTTAACCATAGTAAAAGCAGGAAAACCAAGTAATTGATCAAATAATTTGGCTTTATTTTAAGTTGTTAAGGATGTGATCAGAGCATTATTCTCAGACACTGGGTATCTGTGGTCAGCATCAAGATTGAGCTTGCTGTTAAGTCCATGTGTTTGGTATTTTTGTGTGCAGAAACAGAGGTCAGTGATCTGCAGAAAACTTTATAATACCAAAATGACAAGCAAAAGCCTCTTTAGTATGAGTGTCTTTGTAGAGTGACTCAGTCTCTGAATTCTTGTGTTGTTCTAAAGGTATTTGTTTGTCGAAACTGTAGGTTGAATGCCATTTTCTAGAAGTTCAGTGTCCTGCTTTAAACCCATACTTTTTGCTGAGTGATTTAAAGTTCTCACTGAGTGTGACTGTCCCAGGCTTGTGAGTGCCCTTTGATCCTCTGTTTAGGACACTGGTCAGTGAATCTTTTCTCATGCTGAAGGAGCGGGAGGAATTTCTTTTTGCTCAAGAGACAGGTATGCACTTGGGATTGTGACAGTCTCTGTGCAGATGTGGAAGGAATAAGACTCTCAAGATCTGAAAGGAGGAAAAGCTCACATATGTTAAAATAAAATGCTCCATCATGTTGTGTGCTTAAACTAAAAATGGATAAAACCTGGAAGGCTTGGCCTTGCACTTGTGGTAAAAACATGAATTTTTAGAAGCATCCTGCAACTGGAGCAATACAAACACTATTGGACTTATTTGTGTGGAAATATAACACAGAATATGCTGGCAGGGTTAAGAACAAGTCTGTGAGAGGGAAGAGTGGTTTTGCTGTCCCCCACAAGAGAAGGAGCTCGTAGAGGGTGCTGGAGAGGAGTGAGTTTAGTTGGGTGTGACATGTGAGAGACAGGCTGAAATACAGATGTGCTGCTCACAGATTCTGTTACAGGGCTTGTATGGTTCTCTGGTCATTATAAGCATCTGCAGGTGGATCTCAGCTTATACTACAGCAGTACTGTAGTGCAACAAAGCATGGTGTTGGTAATGTGCTATCCTGGGGCTTAAAATAGCTTTTTTTCAGAATAAAGCACACCTGAATTATGTAGTTATGGCAGATGTCACTCTTACAAGAATAATAGAGACCAAAAAGAAGATAGAAAGAGAGGTTAGGACAGGGGTTCTTCCATATGTAAACATTTACATTCTTATTTTGGGTTAATTACAGTCTTTGAAGTTACAGTAATTTCATTACCTTTGATAAATAATAACAAGAAGAATTGAAAAATGGGATGTTATCTACTCTTATCATCATGTTCTAATTATTTTCAATGTCCGTGGCTTAAAAGAAAAAGGTGTTTCATACAGTGTTTTGTAACATAACAATATTTCATATTAGCAACTATTCCATGGGTTTTACACATCAGTTATTTAAAGAACTCATTCTAGTGCCCAGGTCTCATGAAACCATGGTGGCAATTAGAAAGATACTGAAATCAGATGACATTTCAGATTTACTAGGAACAAATTTGATAAATTACCTCTACATGATTTTTAAGAGTATTGATTAGTTTTACATTGTGACAAAGAATTGTTTGAGAGCAGGGACTCAGTGTAATCCATGCTTACTGCAGAGAATGTGGTTTCTATAAACTTGTTTTTGGGGGAGAGGGACACAAAACATGATGACACATGACACACACACAAATTCTTTGTATGTAACACAAAAACCTTGCTCCGCTTGCAGCTTCTGCTTACCCAAATCCCAAAGGATCAAATTACTGTTTCAGTTAAATTCACTTTTCCAGTAGGTGGAGACAATTGTTGATTTGAAATAAGCTTAAGCCTTTACATTTTGATTGCAAACATTTTATCGAGATACTCTTAAAATAATGAAAATTAGGATGTAAGAAAATGTTTAAATTTTTATTTTAAGATAGTTCACTCTTAAGGCTCTTACTGAAAGAGCTGTGGCATTCAAATATTGCTTCTGTATTAAGAGTGGCTACTCAAATAGTTTGGGTTTAATTTTCTAATTATCTCCACCCACTGGTCAAATATGCATTGATGAAAAGTTTAAGTGATACCTTTTAAAATATCCAAACACAGGATGGAGGAAAGTAGATTGAGGGTAAATAGACTGAGGGTAAAAAGATTGGATAAAGTTTTTTCTTAAGACTAGTAACACAAGGTAGGGGACCCCTCAAGTAAATTAGCAGGAGAATAAAAGAAAGATGTGTCAGTCATTCTGGCCGTGTTATTCCATTCCATGATAAATTTTTTAAAAAATATTTTATTCCATATTCATTCATTAATTGTTCAGAGATCTGACTGCAGGGATCATGTCAGAGGCTTTGCATGTAAAACGTGTCAACAACTTTTTATGTGATGTTGATTTATTTTTTAACAAGTCAGTGGGCCAGTTGGTAAGTCAGCCTT